AACTTTTCATCATCAAACTTCGGACGTGTTTCTTATGTCTTTTCAGCATCGATTATCAATTTTCACGAATAATAATATTCCCAGACAACAATCTATTCACCATTACTGATCACAAGTAGCCTTTCACAAAATATTCCCTTCGAAATAGATTCCTTAGCCTAATGAATTCGAAGCGTAACCGCCATGCAAGCCGATTTACACCTTGCGTAATTTTTCAAAATGTACGACGGACGGTTAGTGCAATAATTAAATTCGAAAATATTCAATTGTCTGTCTCAAATGTATATATAAGTAATAAATAACAAGTTTATAAACTTCAATAGGAATTGAAGTGGGTCGGTACATGATCAAATCTTCTGAGAAGGCATTCTGCATTCACAGGATTTGATCACGTGACCGACCCACTTCAATTCCCATTGAAGTTTATAAACTTGTTATTTATTTCTTAAGTGATTTATTAACTATATAGACAATCATAAACCTTTAGAAAAGCAGACATATATCAAAATTCAAATTATGGTTTATTTTACGGGCATTTAAAATGTTTCGTTGGGTACAAACATGTTATCGGAAACACGGTTGAAGTTGCCGGATAATTCGGTTTTTCACGGGTGTAGGTTATCGGAAACGTAGGTTAAAAATGTTCCTTCTGTTTCAACAATAGATTTTAAAAAAGACGAAATTCCATGATATTCTGCGGTCAAGGCTTTCAGTTCTTAAAAAAAATAACAATTTGAATTTCAGCAAAAGAAGTTTGTAATCTATGACAGATAATTAATTATACTTTCAGCAGCAGAAAGCACAAACCGAATCAAAAGATCTACAGCTCTCTCAGATAATATTCTATTTAAAAAAATTCGGATTATGTCATCACAATTTAACTTTTGTAGAATTCAAATTTAATTTTTTCTATCAAACTGGTATATTTACTCTACGGACAATCAGATACCTTTAAATCAGCAAACTGAGATTAAACATCCAAATCAAGGCTTAGAAAACAGTCATTTAAAATGTCTCGTTACTTGAATACGTAGCCGGAAAATTCGGTTTTTGAAGGGTGTATGTTATTGGAAACGCAGGTTAAAAAGTTTCCTTTAGCTTCATAAACACATGATAAATAGTTTGGAAAAAGTCCATTATAATCTGTCAATTCTTGAAAAAAAGCAAACGTAATGTGTTAGAAGTAATTTTGAAATTTATTTTCAAGGGCTGTCTGTAAGGTTCATAAGTTTGTTTTAAATCTTTAATCTATCATAACAATTACTTTTGTATTATGATATACTGAGTATTACATTATTATCTTTTTTTTAAAAAAATCAAGTTCCCCCATGATCCCCGGAATCACGTCACCGTTTGATTCATTTTCAGTTCCTCATATGTTTAACTTTTTTTACAGTCAGTGATTGGCGTTTTAATTACACTTCGACGGGAGGAGGGGGTGGGGACAGAGAATTTTTGCTTCAGTAAAACATCCAATCGCAATGCAATATCCATGTGACCCCCCCCCTCGATCTATCTGAGATGAGCTCTATTTAAACATTGCATCTGGCCAATAATGACGAAGAGCACACTGCTGGATGTAACCGTTTATAAGGGGGTTCTTATTCCTTCTTGGTATGTTAAACAACCTCCGATGTCTTTAGAGATCCGTGTTTACGATTTCGTATTTTTTTTTTATGTCAATCTCTTTTCTCCTCAAAAGTTTTAATTCTATGTCATATAGTTTGGTCTAACGCCCTATTTGGAAATACATTGAACCACCCTTAATTTTATTGAGTTTGAACTCTTTAATTGCTTAGGCCAGTAAACTTATAAATTTATTCGTGTTGGAAAGGTTGTGAGTTTGAATCTCGGTGTCGCCTGTGCTAAGTCGATAAAATGACTGGCAACTGTTCTTTCGCTATGCGCTCATCACCTTGATTGACTGTATGTTGTTTAACACCATCTTGAAAATTTTCAAGTCATATGGAGACACCACCACTTGCCGGCGGAGAGCTACAAAACTTGTCCTATACTCGACACTTAGGGCCATTGAGCAGTGAAGGATCTTTTTTGTGCTAGCACCTATTGCGGCGTCCCACTTTGGGATACGCACCAGCAACGTATAAGGATCAACTCCTTAATTACTCGGCGATTCTAGAGCAGACACTCTAACCAAGGGCGACCTCGGTAGCTTGAAATGAAATTTAAAACTGATACCATATTAAACAACAGGTCAAGATCATGCAGATTTCAGTGAGAAATGCCAAAAACACGCATTTTTTTAAAGTTACACATTCTTAAAAGATGTAAATAATAACCAAAAATTAGAATTGTGTGCGAGCCACTTTATATATTTAGATTTCATGTGGATTTCTGTCGTTCCTTTACATTTTTCCTAAACTATCTCAACCTTTGTTTCCGATAACCAAAACCGAAGTTTCCGATAACAAACTGAATTATTCAACCGTATTTCCGATAACATACTGAAAGTTAAAATTGGGCAATTTTTGTCCTTTAATAACATATTTGCAAGATTCTGACGATGTCTTCTTGTGGACAATCATTAACGCTAGGTAAATATAAGGATTTTGAAGAAAGAAGCTATTTACAACAATCCCAATTGGAGAAAAACTTGCAAAATATAGCAGATTAGACTTTTAAAGCCTTCCCAAGGCTAACAAATGCTATTCTAATACATATTGAGGCGTTATTTTGTATCCATATTTTTTTCTATTTACAAGAATCAATGAACATTTTCTGTTTCTATTTTAACAGAGTTTATTTGAAATAATTTACTACCCTGTAAAAAATTGTGATCAACCGAGTGTCCGATAACAACCGAGTTGCCGATAACGCGTTGAGCGTGGTTTACGGGGACATAAAAAACGGCACTAAACACTGTGTTTTGGAAATTTTTCGTTCATGCACTTATGTTGTTTTTAAATCTTTACCGGATTTCGCTTTTATAAATTAACTACAGAAGTGTGTCAACACCAATTTTTAAATGTTTAATATAATTAATTAAATACATTAAGGAGGGTCAGGTTATATGCCCTTACTGTTTTCTAAACACTTTCTTTACACTTACCTGCCATTGATTTAACATTATGTATGTATGAAAGGAGGAGCTTACATCGTAAGAATGGATATAAAAATTAAGACTAGATGAATAACAAAAACAAAAAAATACTAGACATATGTAGCATGATTTATGCTAATTAGAACACAGTGCTCGAAACGTTTAATAGTCAGCGATCGATTTAAAATATCCTTTACTTACACGAATGGGTTTATGCGTTTTAAACCTTTGTAAACAATGTACTAGTACCATATAGAATAAATAAATAGGAAGATGGAAAATAATGTTCTTGTAATTTTTTTAAAAAACATGTCATTTTTATTCATTAATTCTAATCTAAGATCGATTCTTACGATGTTACATGTAGCTCCTCCTGTCATACATACATAATGTTAAATCATTGGCAGGTAAATGCACATTCTCTTTATTTGGGAAACCTAAATTTAAAGGTATCAGTTATAAAAGGACGTACATACTTTTCTAACCATACATATCGATCCTGTATTAAATACTCTGAAACTAATTCAAAGCAGTTTAGAGTAAAAAACATTTTACCAAGAGACATTTTCAAAAATATAATTATTCGAGCAGTAAATAATTAATTAAGAATGCATTGAGGTCCATTGGAACAAGAAATTTTTTAAAAATAAGAATTTTAACTGGCTACGGAGAAATACATGTAATATGTATTCAGATTACTTGTTTTTTTAATGCCAAAATAGATGCAGAGAGAAAAAGGAATGCACATTGAATGTCGATTTGTAGTGAAGGTGTGAAAAATCAAATACGTAAAAAATGACGTTGATCAGGTGTTGTAGATATTGAACTCCAAAATGCAAAATATGCTGGCACAATCAAGCAAGGATCTCTCCATTATATAAATCCATTTGCAATATTCTATGCATTGAAAGCCGCTGTTCATGACATTTTAAAGTCATATACAGAAGATGGATTGAAGTCCTTACTCAGCTCCAGGGAATCTCATTAAAATTAGGTGAAGCAGACATTGAAAAACAATGATGTTGTCGGACGTCATAAAACTAAACGGCGATGGTGCCGGGCGATGATATAATGTCGTTTATATTTTATAATAATTCGAGAAATAATGAACGAATTAAGCTGAAATTCTCAACTTATTATTTTTTTTTGTTGCTGTTTTATGTTCCTTAAAAAAATTGTAAGCTCAGACTACATAGTACTGTTTTTATACCCCTCGTATAATTATTAATAATAGAAATATGATTTTTAAAAATAATTATTTTTCACCAGATAGATTACAAAAAGTATTTTATTGATTAAAAGCAAAGGGGGGGGGGTGTTACTTTTCAAGGATAGATCAAGGTAAAAAATTATGACACATTCCGCTTTTACATACTGAGGCTTAAACATGAAGATTATATTTACATATATACTGATTATTCAGCCAATATAAACATTGTATGTGTTATGCATTCATATTCATTAAATCTGAGGCTTTTATGGATCGAATACCTTAGAGACAATACACTTGAAATTCATTACTGTATATTATAATCTTAGATAAATTTAAACATTTAAATTGGATGTCAAATTGACAGACTTCTATACTAAATGTATAAAAGTGAGATTAGGTTAAGATTTAAAAGCAACGGAAGCGACTGAAGAAGACCCCAAACACAGTGTTAAGTGCAGTCATCCTTTAATTTTTTTATACTCGCCTATAGGTTTTCAGTAATGTCATGTATTTAATTTTATCATATTTTCTCAATCTTAATAATATCCAGAAGTCATAATTGCCTAGTGAGTTTTAATGTAAAATATTTTGTATAGTAAAATCAGTTTTGTTAATTCCGTTTCTGTAGTCAATATTACTTTCCTGATAAACAAAGAATCGAAATGGAGGTTTTGATTTACTCTAAACAAAAATGCCCTATTTCAAACTTTGAAGGCATTACACTACCTGATTTTCAAATGCTCTCTCCCCGGTCTCATTTCGGTTGAAGTCGGATAATTCTGTTTCCTCCTTATCCACTGCGTTTGTATCGTTAATCTGGAAAAGTTTTAACATCTCTAATAATTACGTATTTGAATACTAACATTTTACAATTCTTTTGTTAAAATAAATGATTGTAAAAATGAATAACATAGGCAACTTTACCTCTCCTGTTTTAATGCAAACAAAAAATTTGACTTCTCCATCACAAAACGCCAACCTTGGCATTTCCTCAGAAACATTTTTGCATAACACATGACAAAACATAAACTTTGTGAGAATGTTCGTCAAATATAAAAAAAAAAACGGGACACTAATGTCCTGTTTACACGGAAAGTTTAATTCGAATTAAACGTATGTTTACTGCGAATTAGCTTCGCTTAGCGTTCACACGGAGAATTTAATGCGCATTAGTTCAATTCCAATTAATTTACTGGGCATTAAATTACTTCGCATTAACTCCGTGTGAACGCTAAGCGAAGTTAATTCCAATTAAATTTTGAGGCATGCGTAGCGGCGAAATTCATATGCCACATGTCAATGGTCAAGTATTCTTGTATCTTATGGTCTCTTATCTCCTAAAATGTAATCAGAAAATGATAATATATAAATATTGCATGTAGTTGAGTGTAACATTGAAAATTTTCACCCCAAGAAAACATTGTCAACCGAGGCGCAGCCGAGGTTGACAATGGTTTTCGAGGGGTGAAAATTTTCAATGTTACACTCAACAACATGCAATATTTATTATATTATACTGAATGTTTTATACAAATACATATTACAGTGAACTGTGCGTGCATAAGTTCTGCGCAGTCGCTATTTTTTAGAATACCACCCGTTGTCAAACAATGTTGACTGTTGCTAAGCAGGAGGGCGTTGCTTCATTATTCAGCGGGTAGTAGTGTTTTTTATCAAATGTTTCTCGACGAATCAGATTCAAGTAATTTACATGAAAGTATAACATCAATAATTGTCAAATTATCAAAGCTGACAATTGCTTAGACAATTTTTTTTGTTACAAAAGAACAAAATAATGTTCTCAAAAAAGGGAGGAAAACGTTACCGCTACATCGCCAAAAAGAAGATGGGCGAACAAGGCGGGCAGAATGATATTAAAAAAAACATATTAAATATGTGAATTGATTATTTAAATTTACATCTAATTATTGGAATTTTTGAATTATGGAAAAAAAAACTTTTCTGAGCGAGAAAGAATCTCGTAAAAGAAATTTCTTTCATAAAATTATTAGATGGTATTCGTGGGATTCGAACCCTAGCAATAAAAATCCGACGTATCAATAGCATACTGATTTGAGACTAACGCGTTAACCACTATGCTACATCGTTTATGTTGATTTTTGGCATTTAAATCATGTTTGTGATATGACCTGCGACTTAATGGACTTGAGGTATTTCTCGGAAAGATGCTAATGTAGTGTCATAAAATTGTACCTATAAGGTATAATGGGTCTTCGCTTCATGTTTTTGAAAACCAAAAAATGTGTATTTTATTGCACACTTTTAGGATCATCTTTCAAAAAAAATGGAGAGAAGACCCACCCATGTTGAAAAAAAAAATTGTTTAAGTATAAGAAAATGATCGTTTTTGTTCTTTTTAGTGTCTGTAAGCATTTTCATAGGCAAATACTTTCAGTCTTTGTGAGTTTTTTTTTTTTTTGTAAATTGTAGAGATGTTTCATAAAGTATATTTTAATATTAGATGAAATATCAAGTAAAATTTGGATTCAATTGAGATTAAAATTTTCACTTCTTATCTGTCGCACTATAGGCATTCTGTCCGCCTTATTCACCCATCTTCTTTCAACTCATTACTGCTACATTTTTTTTTTTTCAAATTTTCGACTGATAATTACCGCTACATTTTTTGGAACCGAAATTAACTCGTCACCGCTTGATATTGAACCAGCCAAAACAACTCCAGGTATGGTACGGAATATTAGTTCCAATCAACAAAATTCACTCAATATGTAATGAAGTACAATTTCGATAAAAAAAAAAAATGCGAAGACTGTGAGTTTTATCTATCCACAGTTCTTGATTTATTTTTTTTCTAAATTTTAAAAGTGTTTGATGAAATAGAATAAATTTCAAATAAAAAATTTAATAAGAAAACATTCCGCTCAAGATCCTACTTTCTCCTCCCCGTAGTGAGCAGGGGAAACAGGACTTATACTTGTATATGTTTTACTTTAAATCAATCTGTATACATGCATATTAAATATAAAAGTTGATGGTAAATGAAAGAGGCAATGTAGCGGTAATGTATACTTCTGTATGTAGCGGTAATGTAACGTTTTTTGTAGCGGTAATGAGTATGAATTGAAAATTTTAAAAAATGTAGCAGAAATGAATCCTCTAGTCAGCTTTTTCTTAATATTGAATATTTTTTTACGATTATGAAGAAGTTTGATGTTTTATTCTACAGCCATTTAGAATTTTCTTTTCGTTTTCATGGTATGTAAAATAGAAAAAAAAAGAAATATTAGGACGGCAACCTCAAATTCCTTAATCGTGCAACTTTGAAAAAAAAAATGCAGATTGTAAAGGAAATTTATTAATTTTCAAAATTGCTTTCGAAAATACGTACATTTCCTTGTAAGATTGATTGATTGTATTTTGTATAACGTCCCTCTCGAGAATTTTTCACTCATATGGAGACACCACCACTTGCCGGTGGAGAGATGCAAATTGTATCCTGCAACACGGGACCTCGGTTTTTACGGTCTCATCCGAAGGACCGGTCTCCACGTCCCACAGTGGGATTCGAACACGCAACGTATGGATCAACTCCTTACTTCGCGACTCTAGAGCAGACGCTCCAACCAGTGCACCGCACACATTTCCTTGTAAGATATACCCCTTGTAAAGCGTCAAAGATCTAGTATTCTTTCCCTTTATGGATCCTTGTTACATTGCCAAAATTTTATCATATTACAAATTGCAAAGCATCAAGAAGAACATATTTGCTTCAGCAATAAATTAATATGTGTTGATGAATTATATAATTTAAGAACACATATTCAAACATTTTTTGTTACTGAAGAATAGTTAATAGTAATTGCAGGACCATTTCGAATTGTTTGATCTATATGTACATGTATGTCATCAGAGAAGTTTTCCCTTATTCATAAAGTGACTTGTTTAACTTATTGTATGCCCTGCTTCCTGTGTTTTTGTTCTTACACGAAATATGATAAAATGTTAATTTTACGTAAATAATCACAAATTTTCAACAGAAAAAAATACCACAAATTTTCTTTTAAAAGATTAACGCTTGAGGGGGTGGACAGTAGTTTTCATTGCACAATAATTCACGCATCATTTAATTCGAGTTGATTTTCGTTTTATAATGTCAACCTTTTATTGGTATCTCAGGTCAACCACATGAAAATCCAACATGGTAACAGACGCTTAAGGACCAATGGTACAGATTGAAAAATGATCTAGGGAATGGAGTAATCTAACTAAGATTTAATGAATCTGAAGGCATAACAGATATTTATTGGCTGAATTCTACCGGTAAGTATAATTATTTAGACATACATGTAATCTTCATGTTTTAGTAGCAATATGTAAAAGAGCGGAATGTGTCATATCAATTTCAATAAATCAGGAATTGTCAAAGTCACACAAGATTTCGGTTACTTGTTGCTTAAAGTCAAATAAAATTGTTTGATAACAATACTGGAAAACATATTAGGAATGAAAGTTGTAATTTTATTCAAACGTTTATTATGCGTTTCTTTTTCCTTTCAGTATAGTTTCATAGTATTAAATACAGGATGGACATTAAAGGTTAGAAAATTATATCCAATCATGGGTCGGATACTTTAAATCACAACGATTATATTTAAATGGCTGCTAAGTTATGGAGTTAGGTGTAAAGATAGGAATAAAATCAGGTACGCGTTTAAATGTTTAAATAACATCCGTTCTCTGATTACAATATCATTCGTTCTCCAATTACAACAAAGCATTGAAAATATTCTTTAAAAAATCAAAATAAATTGCAAATCGAAAGTTGAAATTACATATATCAATCAAGTTTAAAGGTTTGTCTAACCTTTTTTTAGAGGATGCATTTCATTAAAACTTACAGTGTTTTGTATCTGTATGCATTGAAGCACATATTCTACTTCAAAATATGAGATTATGATACGCAAAACGAAACAAGTAATAAGCAGCTCAGCTACTCAAAAGCAACAAGCATTTTTTTCCTACCAATTCATTGTTTCTTCCAAAATGGTTGCCCATTTTACTAGCGTCTTACTGTCCTTCCTGAAAACAAGACTTTTCGTAGATGAATCAAGTCTTATTTTTGTTGACCAATCAGACACCGTATGTTATTTTTATCATATTAGATAACTTCTCCTCGGAAAGATTGTTACCTCATGCATAAAAAAGGAGTATTGTACAGTAATATTTTCAAGTCGTATCGTAAAAAAATATACATGCAATTACATTACAAGTCAGTAGCATAATCAAAAAGATCAAGACAATATTTCATCTGGATGACAAGAAAAATATAATCAAAAAACTTTTACATTTTGAAAGTCGTTTTTAATTTGTTGAAATTGCATTTTAATAAGACCTTATTATATTTTTAATCATAGATTTAAATTTAGGTGTCCCTAATTTTAAAGGTTAATACTAAAAACCTAAAAAAAGGTTAATTTTTGCTACATGTATGACGGTTTTTGGTACATGTAACGTTTTATTTTGGAATTGCATCAATTAGTCTGTACCTCAGCACATTTTGCTTACGTCATAAGTGCACAACCAAGGGTTGTTAAGAAAAATCGTGGACTTTTGTCATATCTCTTTTATCTCTTTCATTAAACGTAATATTTTATCAAAATTTGGTAGCAATATTTTGATAAAATCAATTAATTCAAATGATTTTTAATCTTTTTAATTTACCGTGATTTATTTCAAACCTTTCCAGAATTAAGATCGAAAAATGAATCTCGGCGCAGTTCATATTTAATTGATTTATAAATAATGCACTTAATAACCATGATAACGTCTGTTTTCACAGTCTATGTAAAACGAAGCAAATGGAGCAAAAACGAAAAAAAATCCTAGACTTTTAAATTGAGATCTGATACATTGATCAATATTCCAGGTTATGGCTTAATAATTTGCTTCGGTGAAAAGAGATTAATTTGAGGAGAGAGGTAGTTTTCATTTAAAACGAAGGATATGATGGCGTGGTAGAACGTCACAGGGCAGCAGATAACAATGCAATTTTGTGTTATAATCTGTAAAATCCTGAACAAACTCTTAAAATGCATGTTAAAGGAATCAAAAAATATCTCACAAGTAGGCAGTGCATGTGTGTGTAAATTGCGGTATTTGAGTGACAGAGACTCTACAGGACGAAGACAATCTGTAAAGAAACGGTTTAACTGGTAAAATCTGATCAAAAACTCAGAAAATTGGATCGTCATTGGAAGACAGGTGCTTCAGAATTGCTTATCCCCTGAAAGCACATCTGAGTGATAAAAGAAATTAAAACGCTTACAAAGAAAATTATACAACAAGAACAACTGTTAGCAAAATAAATTAACATGATAAGGCTGTCCGAAGGCTTAAAATGCCTAAAAAGCATACATTTTATTTTGAGCTTGATTTTCATTTCAATATTTAATCCTTGTTTGAAATTGCAGTCAACTTCAGATAATTGATTAATCAGGTTTTATTTTATAGCATTTTTGTGATGTCACATGACTGTGTTGATCACGTGACGTAGATTTACGGTATTCCTAATTGTTGCACAAAAATCGCTTCGGCACAAGTGCAAAACAAAAATATTGTGCAAAGTTTGTTACATATATTAATTCATTGTGATCTCTGGGACATAAAAAGTGCTGGGGGCAGGTTTAATTTTTACTCGAAAAGAAAATATTTTACGAAAAGTTCAACTTAGGACCACTTTTTATCGCGATTTATACAAAAATTGATTAAATACGCCCAATCCCCTAGTAAAATTCAGTTACAGGACATAATTCTCTTGTAGATTCACACAGAATATCTTCAATTTGTCCTTATGTATCACTTGTGCCAGTCCACTATAAACGCAATTCATTAATTCTAACTAATATTTGAGCTTAAAAAACAATCGTACACTTGAATTAAACAAAAAGTCCCTAAAAAAATCTACATGCAATGTAAAAATTATGACACTTTCCCCGTCATGTCAGTTCAAGGATGCAGTGACTTGACGTCATATTCTTTTATGACGTCATATCTAGGTAGTTCGGAGATTGATTGATTGATTGATTGTTTACTGTTTAACGTCCCTCTCCAGAATATTTCACTGATATGGAGACGTCACCATTGCCGGTGAAGGGCTGCAAATTTGGGCCTATGCTCGGCACTCAGGGCCATTGAGCAGGGAGGGGTCTTTATCGTGCCACACCTGCTGTGACACGGGGCCTCGGTTTATACGGTCTCATCCGAAGGACCGCCCCATTTAGTCGCCTCTTACGACAAGCAAGGGGGTACTGAGGACCTATTCTAACCCGGATCCTCACGGGATTAGTTCGGAGAAGTTACGACAATTTGAACAGTTTGATATTTTACGGGCAGCCTTATCATAGCTGCAAATGTTAAATGATAGAAATGGTTTTAATAAGTGGTTATTGAACTACAGCTGTATACTGTGTTATATGTGTAAAACGAGTATTTTTGAGAAATTCATCACGCTATGATTTACGTTTTATTGAAGTTAAGTGTGACCCGTGGTTACAAGACATGTTAATCTTAAAATGAAGTAAATTGATTTCTATTAAAAGGATTGGAACGAATCTTCACAAATTAACAAAGCAATGAGCTAATTTTAAATTTCCTTAAAGCAGTTTAACGAAGATTGACATGTCTACTAACTTTTCGAACAACCCCCTTATTTATAATCAGTCGAAGCAGTTTTTTTTTCAAAAGTAAGGATAGAATTTACAATGGTTTCGTTTGTTTTATTCTAAAATGTTTATTTATTGTTAAAATCGTTGGTATGAAAATTTTCGCTATATCTCATGGCATATTTATCTAAATTTCATCATCGATGCCAATATTGTTCGTAGATTATTTTTTTATTATTTTAACAGGGCTGTATGTACAAGTGCCTCCTAACTAGTAATATAACATTAACGTTTCATGACAGCTCATGGTTCACAGATTTTCTCCTTGTTAATATTTCGAGATTCGAAATGCTTAAGCAAAAGACGGTGAGTCAAACCTGATCTCCGCCACAGACTGAGCGGTGAGACGAGAACCTCGTCTGGGGACAAGTTCCAATCTAAGTTCCTCCGTCGGCCAGCATCAAGGACGGAACAATACTGATTATTAATTGCCCATCTGATACTCTTTAAAATGCACAGGCTATTGCATCCTCGATAAATATTGCCTAACTATGTTATACCACTCTACCAAAATTCACGATCTGACTCACCGCATCACAACTTTAAAGAAATTGTAAACATTCTGCATGCCAATGGAAAGAGGGTGTTGCAGAAACTCCCGATTATTCCCTATATATCGAGAAGGACGTTTAAATACCCTCGTTATGTCTAAATATAGATACAGCTACGTAGAGGACTATGTTTACGGCGGGTATTTCCTTCTTGATACAGCAAAACACTTTCGTCATTTTGCACGAAAGAGGTTGGAAAAACAAAAAGCAGAATGGCTAAAGCAGCATTTTGTAATATATACTGTAGACATCGTGCGAAAATAATTTTCATGAAAAAAAAATGCGTCCCATAATCACACTGTTGGTTTTACGTCCAAGACATTTTATTTGTTTCATAGCAAATCTTAGCTACTAGCTAAGAGACCAAAATTGAAATAAGTAAAGTTTGTAAAAAAAAAAAAAAAGAAATATATTATTTCCACAGTACAGTAACTTTATTTTCCAAGACAAAACAAATTAAGCATTCATTTAGTTTTAAGTCAAAGCATATCAAGGAAAACAATTTAATCCTGCATTTTTAATACATTGTATATAGACTAGTTATTACTCAATTAACTTCTTGACATCCCCTCCCACCTCTCTTTCAAAATATATGCAATTTCATTGCACTACCATTACCTATGGGAAAAAAATGCAAAAATGATCTCTACCAGGATATGAACCCATTCTCCGTTAAAAGTACTAGTTACATGTAGAAGCTCACCAGCATATCCACAAGACCATTTCGGACACGATGATTATACAGTGTTATTTAAAGTTCACATTTTGCATTCCGTTTGGAGAATATTTTTTATTAATTTTTTGCATTTTTCAAAAATGTGCCTCTTTGAAACAAAAATCGGAAAGGACAGTTTTAAAGCAAATTCCTGCCTTGTTGTGTATATATCAAAATTATTTTGTTTCAAGGAGGCATTTTTTCAGAACAATGGGGATTCCCTATCTAGAAAACGGAAAATCTGATATATTTTGCCGGAAGACTAATTTTCACATAATTTAATTGAAAATTGGAAGTCAATACACACCTTTAAAATATTGTTTCTCGTTGTGCTTTATATATTATTGCATTTGAAAAAAATTAATATGAGTCCCTGCAACATAAAAATTGTTCTTTTAATCTGCTACACATTTAGGGAAAAGAACAAAAAAACTGCAACATTCCTTTGACCTATGTCTGTCTTTTCCATGATCATGAGACCAGGTAAAAATACACCTGTACTTGAAAGACCACACCCTCCTTTGGTAACCGTAGAATAAAAAATAAAATGAAATAAAAGATATTTTCATTCTTTTTTATTCAAATAAATATTAAATTTTGTTTCCTAAAATCTCTGCATATTTAAAAAAAATATTACATGCTTTATTTACGATAAGAAATGTGCTCTTTTAAAAATATCATTTCATAATTCCCCGTTAATTGAAAGAATAATGTACATATGTACCATACGGCCCCCCAGAAATTGATAATTGATAATATGTCTAAATCAACACTTATTTTTGCATGCACGTTATCACTGATTTGTGTACTTTAATGGAATTCTACTTTTTCCATAAATAGAAACATAATACTTGGAAGATACAGATCTTTAATTTGGGTGGATCGAGATACCATGTTTACATTCAGTTCCGGTTGAATTTTCGCCCCGCCCCACCATTTAAAGTCTTTAAAATATGTTATATTTTCTTTTTTACTCATTCGAAGATAAGTATCTATTTTTTTTTATAGTTTATGTGTAGAAAGATTTGTGTAAGTTCAAATGTACGTTCAAATTAAAGTGTCAGGAGAAAAAAAATTGTTTATTGATATGAATAGTTGGTGTTTGTATAAATCCGGGTATATACATGTAGGA